TTTTTATTAATAATGACTTGAAATTTTCACTGACGATACATTAATTAATGCAATTTATATATAGTGTTGCGTGTGCAATGAAATTATAAATTCAATAATTTACAATTCCCTCTGTTGTAATTTATTAATTTTCGCGTTTCTTATATTATATGTATAATAATTTGCTGCTGCTAATTTTTTCAAAGTCCTGTGGATTAAGTTGCGTGGAAATTAATGATTTGAAATTCCCACTAGCAGGAATTTCGTTACAGGCTTAGAGATATCGACATAGAGATTTTTGAGATTTAATGTTTTCGCTTCATGAAAACGCATATTTATCCTATATTCGGGGCAGCTAATCGAAATAAATTACAATTTTCCGGTGAGTTTTCGGCAAAGAAATGGAAAGAGGCGGAACGAAAAGACGAAATATGAATATCTAGGCTATATTCCAAAACGAATTGCTTTCGAGGAAAATTTTATTTAAAAACCTGTAACCTATATAGTTTTCGTACACATACTACGATATGCGAATGTCGCGAGCGGACTAACCGCGGGGAGCGCAAAGTGGGAAGCGTCGTGAGCGCGAGTCCGAAGAAAGAAAACGAAAGATGTAACGTTTAATATTAACACGTTTATTGAACAATAAAGTATAACTAATTACAACCCGGAGTATTAGGAATTAAATTTGACGAATTAACTCACTCTTCGACTGAAGAGGAAGTTCGCGATTTATCGAATCCGCGACGGCGGATCGACGATAGTTTGCGCGAAACAAGGCCCTCGATAATAATTGGCGTATCGAGCGACCGAAAAAAACCGTGTGACCGTATGCGAGACTTATATGTGGCGGCAAAGTGAGTGCGGGCGATTCCCGCTTTTCCAACGTAGGCCGAGCTCTCCCTCTCGAAGACTCGAATTTGTGGCGTGACCGAAGGGCACTTCCTGTTTGTTAGAGTTGTTTGCTCGAGTTGTTTGTTCGAGCCTTCGAGAAGGAATTCGGTGGAATTTTTAACGCGGCTGATTGTTTTTCTG